AATATATCAAATTTTCTAAAACACCTCTCATACCGACTTTTCATCACATATAATATACATACATACATACATACAGACAAATATATTAACTTGCTTTGTAATTTAATTAATTAATGCACTTTTTTAATTAATTAATTTGCATTTAAATGATTGTTGTAAATACGATTAAACAAAAACGCGCGTATAGAAAACAAAGAACAATTAAAAATGAAATAAAAACAATTAAACATTAACAAAAAAAAAAAAATAATAATAATAATATAAAGCAACCGATAAAATGTGAAAATATAGACAAAAGTGATTTTTTATAAATAATAAAAAAAAAAAAAAAAAAAAGACTACCAGCAAAAAAGATAACAGAAATGGTAGCATAGCTCGCTTAAGAAATAATAATAATAATATTAAGAAGTAGATGAGGCAATATACTATACAATAAAGCATAAAAAGATGGCGGGTGAGAAAGTAGTAGAAACACACACAAGAAATACAACAACAACAACAACCACATGCAAACTAAAAGCAAGTAAAATGCTGCGAACCTTGACACAATAAAACAGAGAGCGAAAAAAAACACAAAACAAAACAAAAAAAATTAAATAAATTCCGATTTTGTTTTGATTTTTAATGACTTTTTTGTTTATATTGTATTATTTTGATTTTGATTTTGTTTTGTTTTCTTTATTAACCATCCTATTCGCATCTTGCATTTCTCATTTTTCTCATTTTATGTGTACGTCATTTATTATTTCATTAAGTATTTAATTATATTTATTTTATCAAACGAATGCAATTTTGCAAATTATTTTTATGTTTGACGCATTTTCTTCGCTCAGTTCGTGATAATAGCATAGCAATGATGCATTACGGAATTATTTACCGACTTACGACGCGAACGAGTAGTCTCTGTCTTCATGGTTCATACTTTTCATCTACTGGAAATATGACCTCAATTTCTATGTTTACTTATCATTTTAATTTAATTGTAATTATTAACAAATTTAATTTTCAACCTAAAAATATGCTTTTACTTCTATATATAACTTTGATTGTTCTTGAGTGAATATTAAATAAGGATAGTGCATAGTGGAAAAATTAAAATATACACAACATTTAACTATCTAGTAGTTCCCAATAATGACTGACTTAATAATGACAATAAGCCTCATTTTACTCTTATTGTACTCTCTCACTCTTTTTCCTTCTGTCTCTTTTTTCTTCACACATAACGTTTTATCCTCTGGTTGCCAAGCGAGCCTTAATTAAACTGCTGTGATAATATCAATAAACCTCGTTTTATTTTCACCTTCTCACTCGAATTTCCCTCTGCGTCTCTCTTCTACACATATAGCGTATAACCCTCTGGTTCCTGAGAGAGATTATAGTGTTTATAATTATTATAATTACAACATAAGTGCAAAATCCTCTAATTTTAAACAATTATAATTGAGATTTTGATGATTTTTACTTACAAACTTTTTACTTATATTTTTTCTAAAACCATCTTTAATAATTTATTCAAATATAGTAAAAAAAAACTTGGGTCTAAAGGGTTAAATGAATAAGAGCAGAATATATTTATACCAAAACTACATTTTGTTTTTGAGAATTTGTTCGAAAGAATTTGTTAGATTGTACTAGAAAATCTAAAGAATAGGTTTTTGGACCTGTTGCATAATTAATTTCACAAAAGTACAAAAATATAAATAAACAAATTCTTAAATAAAGATATCACCACTTAGTAAAATAAGTAAAAAAAATAAAAAAGGAAAAACAAAATCAAAAATAAATATATAAAAATTTAACAAAACAAGTAAAAATAAAATAAAAACCAAACAAAAATTTAAAAATATAATAATAATTAACAAAAATTAATAATTAATAATTACCAAAAACAAAATATAACAAAAACAATAAATTTTAAAAAAAATAATAATAATTATTATTAATAATAATAATAATTAGAAACACAAAAATATAATAAAAAAATTTAAAAAAAAAATTTTTTTAATGAAAATTTAAAAATAATTAAAAATTGAAAACAAAAAAAATTAAAATTTAAAAATAATATAAAAAAAATAAAAATTTTAAAAGAATAAAATTAAAAATTTAAAAATATTTAATTTTAAAAATAAAATAAAAAAATTAATTAAACAATTAAAATAAAAAACATATAACAAATATTTATTGATTTTAAACGATCAAAACACAGCTTATATAAAAAACTGTATATAAGAAAGAAAATTGAATCAATTAATACATAATATCGCTCTATGTTGTATATTTACTTCATTCATTTCAATCGATTAAGATTTTGAAATATCTATCTAAATATCATCTTTATATCACTCCGTTTTCTCTCTTTTCATTTCCTCTTATCATTCTTTATATCTCTTTCTACAAATCTTTTTTAATATCTCTCTCTATACATCTTTTTGTGTATATCTCTCTCTGAATGTCGTTGTTTTATATCTCTCACATTCAATATTTTTACATGTTCACCTACATTATCAATGTTTATTGATTACCTACTTGTTATTTTAAATTATTATTATTTTACTACATATTACAGTATGTTATCCATATTATACTTATATATATAAACATATATACATATTTTAAAATGCATAATCTTCTCTTCTTCTCTATCTTTTTCTGCCCCTTATAGTCTCTTATAGAAATTGCATACAAATATAGTTCTAATCTACATAATTATTAATAAGTACAGTTTCACATTTTTTTCTCCATATTTAGTATATTCAATAATGCTTATACCTATAATACGTACATATTTTTTCTACATTTCTTCCTTTCTTTATTATTCCTACTCTCTTTCTTTCTCTATTTTATTTTGTTAATACTCATTGGTTTTTATTTTTTTCCTTCCCTTTTTACTAGATATTTGATATCACTTTGGTCTGTTATATATACATTTTATTTTCGCTCTCTTGTTTTTCTTTCTTTCTGCCTCCTTCTTCTTCCCTCAAACACATGCAATTCTTCTATACGTATTTACTAACATAATTTTTTGATTTATAATATATAACATTATTGCTGCTTGTATATATTTATAAAAATTATTTATTTTTTTAAATTCATATGCTTTAATTTTAAATTTTTTTATATAAAATGGAATTTTCACTATTTTATTTTTTATTTTGTTTAATATTCAAATTGTTTATAAACAATTTTCATTAATCAATATTTGTGTGAAAATTGATTATACTTGCAATTCGCTGTTTTAAATAATTTTTTCTATATAATATATAATATATATAAACTTTTTAAAATAAAATTAAAATTTTAAATAAAATTAAATTTTAATTTTTGCAGTTGTTTTAAATCATAAATTTATTTTTTATCCCTACATATTAAAATTTTTTCATTTTTATTTATTTATTATTATTTATTTATTATTTATTATTATTAATTATTTGTGCTTATTTATTTATTATTATCTTTATTATTATTTATTATTCAAAAAATACTTTTTATTTTTATTTATTTATCATTGCATATCCTGGTTAACATATTGTATAAAAAAATTTTTCAATGTAAAATATTTTACACATAAACACTAGTCCACAATGAAAATAATATATAAGTGTTGCGTAAAAAATAGTAATAACGATATTTTGTATATTAAAAAGGTAAATAATGTATTTTAAATGTTTTAAACTTTGTTAAAAAAATTATATAATAAAGTGGTACCAATGATAATTGGTAAATAACATTAATATAGTAATATATACATTTTAAATATATTTTACTATATTAAAAAATTATCTAAACATTTAATATATTTCATTAAAAATTATTTTAGTTTGTAGTATTGTTTTATAATTTTTAAAAGTGTAAAATTAAACTTTAAAAATCATAATTTAAATATTAAAGTTTTAAAATTAAACTTTAAAAATTACAAAAAACACAACAGTGGCGTTTTCAAAAAAACAAATATTAAGATTTTCACAAATCAAAAGGCCATTTAATAAAAACAAAAGCACACTTCACACACAGTAAAACTAACCGAAACTTACGCATCAACACACTCACACCTATATATATACATATATACACTTAAACGCACATCTCAAAAAAGCTTAGTGGGAAAAAATGTCAACAAAAGAAAATTTTTCAACAGGAAAAATTCAACAAATTTCTTGTTCTTGTTGCTAACTTTGTTGTCATTGTTGTTGTTATTGCTATGATTGCTGTTATTGTTGTTCTTGTTGTGATTTTTAGTTGTTACTGTTACATTGCTTGCTTGCTTACAATTATTGTTTTCGTTAATTTTCTTGTAGTTGTTAAGAATTTTATAAATGTGTTTGTTGTTGTTGCTGTTTATGTTGTTGTTGTTATTGTACTTTATCTGTCAATGACACTTTAGCATAAAAACAAAATAAAAAACAAAAAACAAGAAAAAACAATACAAATAAAAAGCCACGCACCGCAATTGTCAAAACATAAAAGTGAAAATAACAAAATTTTTGCGGCGCCATAATTTTAAAATATAAAATTAAAAAAAAACATTTTTGTTTAAATAATGTATGAAGCAAATTAACACAAGAATTTATTTAAAACAATGCAATTTAAGAAAAAAAAAATTTTTTTTTTGTTTTTATGAAGAAAAAACAAATTATTATAAATTTAAACTTTGTGTAATTGTAAACTTTAAAATTTTTTTTTGCAAATTTTGCACAAAATATTTTTTTTATTTGCACAGTAACGAAAAAAATTTTTTTTAAAAATAAATTTAAATAAAATTATACTTTTATTAACATTTAAATTTCATATTTTTGTGTTTTTTGTTACTTGCATATATAAATAATATTTTATTTAAACTTTATAACACTTGTGTCATTATACGAAAATACACTTGAACTTTTAATATTTCGTTTAATTTCATATATAAAAATTTAAAAATTTTTTTTTCGTAATAAAAAATTCCAATTAGTTTTTATTTTAATTTAGTTTAAAAAATTTCTTCTTAGAATTTTATTTACGGTTAGAGCGGTTCGGTTTGATTAGTTCTTCAATTACGTTCACACGTTCGTCTTAGTTCATTCTTAAACATTTCAAACTGTTACTTTTGTTGATGTATAATTTTTAACTGCCGTTTTATATTATTTGAACGTCGCTAATTTCTATCTATTTTATTTAAAAGCCTTTTCTGTGTTTAATACAACCAACGTTGTACGCTGCCTTTGGCTGTCGACTGAGTACTGGCACGAGCCGATTGCGACCGCAACGAGAAAGTTTCAAAATGTGAAAATTCGTAATGAAAATGTTAAAATGTACGTAAAATACAAAGCACAAACACAAAATACAGCAGGCAGCAGTCAGCAGCAATACGACGAGCAGACAGCGCATAGCATAGCAAAGCAAAGTAAAGTAAAACACACTACCAACAACCAACAAACAGTGCCAGTCAGTAAGCAATAAAAGAAGCAGCGGTAACAGCAATAGGAATGCATATAAAAACGTATTGTTTTTGTTTCTTATTTGAATTTGATTTTGAATTTGTGTTTACTATGTGCGGAAATATGCATAGCAAGTAAAATCAAATACAAAATCAAAAGCAATAGCAATAGCACTATATAAAGACAAAATGAAATATCAAAAAACAGTAGTAACATCTGCGCACCACCACTGCTATAAGCAAACAAAACAATAACAAATAAAAATCGTTGTAATCATGTTTATATTCTTAACGTTATCATAACGATTATCATTCATGTTACTGGTAAACGCTTAACATTCCTTACAACTGTTAATAACATTTTACAAATTCATGAAGACAACAAGCAAGCCATACTCGCGTTCGTATATAGAAATCAAGCACAGCAGCAAGCATATCATATGGAATTTTCTTTAGTGCAGTAGCGGCGACGGCGGCGGCGTATACAAACAACAGCAAGCAAAAGTCACTTTTAACAGTGTCGTGTAAAGCGTAAATTTTAATATTGGCCAAAGTGTTACCTTATTACGTTTGACGTCTGTTTCTCTTCTTCTCAGTTGCTAAATGTACACGTTCCTAAGCGTTGTATTAGTTGGCAAATATGTGAAGGGAACGGATGAGTGTACATACTGTGTTCAATTCATTTGTCATTTGTTAAATTACGTAAATATTTGCAAGCACACTGACTACAGATATTTTATGCTTGCATATGCTATTGTATGTAGGGGGATTTTTTTTATTCTTTATTTTTTTTTTTAAATAAAAATTTGTTCAACTATACGGAGTTAGCTATAAATCGTATTACTACAATGTAATAAAAAAAAAATCATTTAAATTTAAGCGCCTTAAGGATCACGAAATACAGTAAATCGATTAAAAAGCATAAGAAGCAAACATTTAATACAATTTGTTCTTATAGTGCATATATAGTAGAGCTAAATGCATTTTGTAATAACAATAGCTCAACTCATAAGTTGTCAAGGAAATGTTTGCAAGAAATTAAATTTCCATTTTACACAATAATTGTATCTTAATTTTGAAAACATTTTCTTGACAAATGCTAATTGACTTTATTTATAGTTTGAAAGTAGCTGTCAGTTGTGTAGCAAGAACTGCATAAAAGACGGAGTGTAGGGTATGCTACAAAAAACATTTTAGTTAGTATTTTTACAGTGTTTAATGTGTAAATTAACTCAACAATCTATTTTATAATATCGGGTACAAGCCTCCAGAATCTTTCCAGCAATAGTTACTACTTATTTTTTGTAGTACTTACTAGTTACTGCATATCTCTTTTCCCCCACACTTGTTTCCATTTTGTTATCTAAATACTAAACTTTTTGTATACTAATGTCGTCCTTTCCCTTGATGACTGTAATTAGGTTTCAGCTTCTGACCTTAACGGCACAAAAGCTGATATTTCTTCATTTTACATTCCTTAGAGTTAGTTACAGTGGGTGCAAGTTTTACACAATGGCTTTCAATGCTTTTCAAATACTGAAAAAAAATATAGATGTTACTATATGCTACTTTCAAGGGGGATCTTCATCCTCTTATCATTCGCTAACTACGACACTAGTAATTCTACAAGAATAACTATTTGAAAAGAGTTGTAAGATATAGTATGCAGTCACAAAATTCTTTTATAAAGAAAATATTCTTATTACTATGTGAACTTTCTTTGAGATATTATTATTTTGATTAAAAGCTTTTCATTTCTAATCATTCACTTCTAATTGTTTTACATAGGTATTATAAACTACATCGTTGTTGTTGCAAAATAATTCGTTATTTTTTTTTTTTTTTTTGAGAGTTGCATAGTTGCAAAATCTATATAATGATTATTTTATGCAGCCAAGCAAAAGGATGAATTAAGCAAAATAGTCTATAAATGACCCGTTAGACGTGAAAAGATAAGATATTGGATTTACATTGCATACTGAATTTGTGTACAAGGTTAGATTTAATTTACGTCGTGGCTGTAGTGAATGGACGCTTGCACGGTAGAAAGTCTATGACTTTGTTCAGAGAAATTCGATAGTGAACCGAAATTATTGCGTCATGGCTAAAGTGAATGGTTGCTTGAACGATTAAAAATCTATAGCATTTTCAAGAGAGAGTGATCCATAAAGTGATCCATAATCCTACTGATCCTACTGCAATAATCCTACTAAGCTACTAATATATAAATTGTTTGGAGTAATTATGTGCTAATACCATCATTGAGTTATACTTTTTTAAAATGAAGAAAACACAACAATTGAACAATTTTTTGTTTTCAAAAGTTATTGACCTTCGTATGGAAGATCTTTGGTTTCAACAGGATAGTACTGCTAGACTAACTATCGACTGATTAAAAAAGTTTGATGATAATATATAATCCATGAACAGATAAATTGCGTGGCCATTAAGATCTTGTAAACCGACACCATTGTACTATTTTTTGTAGAGGTACTTGATATCATTGTTCTTTATCGATAATCCATTATCGATTTCAGTCTTGAAGATTAACATGAAACCTACGATTTGTAAGATATGACTTATAATTATTGAAGAAGTTGTGGAAAATAAAAACTGTAGCTTACAACTCTTTAGACGTTTCAAGGGTTGTCCTTGGTCCGAACTTATTTTTAGCAATGATAACATAAATTATATTCTGAATAAAAAATTAAAAAGTATAGAATATATAATGCTCTTAAAAAGCAATACCACAATAATTATAGAAAACTAAAAATAGACTTGAAACAAAAGAAAAAATATTTTAAATGAGTGCATGAAGCGATTGCAAAACAGTTGAGGCGAATGTTTTCTATCCAAATAAGAGCCAGTTCCAAGTAGCATTTCCTGCTCAGATGACATAAACTATATTAAGGGCAATGCAGCGGTATGAATCATGAACATTAAATTAATTACTAAAAAAATATTTTATTTGAAATAAAATTATTATTCAATTTATAAGTTACTTTATAAGTCTAAATTTTATATTATAAATTACTTTAAATAGTAGAAAGGGGGAAGAAATATTATACACATTTATAACAATTATCTGACATCCCTTATTTCGTAGACAATTATTTTGTATCAAATAATTAGGTATATGTTATAGTAAACTATAATATACTATACGTATAACACTAATAAGAACTGATCTATGTATATAGAATTTTAATATATAAGTAAGTACTTATGTTTGGATGACAAACAAATCTTTATATCATTTCTTAGAAATTAATAATAAACAGAAATTAAAAAATAATATAAATGAAAATCTTAAACTGAACTATTTGTATTCCTAACTAGTGCAATAAAACATAATTAATTAAGTCGATGGTAACATACATATAACATATACATATAATATAATATCGCTATTTCAAACAACTGACTTATTGGAACATCCTTCAAATGAGCACGCAACATCTCTGTAAATTTCTTAATAATTGTAATATTTGTACTATCCACAGGCAAAAATATCCCTCATCTACTTAACAATACCGAGTACAGGCATTTTACTCCTTCTTAGCACTATGAGTCAATAATTAATCCACATTTGTAGCATTTGAAGACTCAAAGGTGGTTGAAGTAACGCTTCGACGATCGCAGAGGTCAATCACATTGTTGCTGCTTTTTTGTTGTATGGAATATTCGCAATGCAATATTCTAGTTTCGGCTTTGAGTTGCAGCAGAAGCAGAAGCAATAGTTTTAGAGACAGACAAGTCCATATGCGAGGATGATGGATGATTTATGTCATTTTTTTGTTTTGTGTCCTATCTGAATCTGAAATGACTAAATTTTGCAATGCATATACACATTCTGTGTATATCCGTATTGAAAATATTTTTTTTTTGGAATTGATGATTCATAACTAAAGATCAGTGGATACGCTATAAGCATATAGAATGAATTCAAAGTAAATTGTATGTATTTTATATAATATTTAAGTTATTATTCTGAAATTTTTTAGATATGCCTTAAAAAATAATAATTGTTTTAATTAGTGAATATTTATTTTAATTAATTTAATTATTATGTCATAATGTCAAATATTTATACAAAGAGTTTCTTCAAATACATGCAGTCATAATGGGACTCTTATTTGTTCATTAATTAATAATTCTTTATGCTTTTGCATTATTATTGTTTGTACATTTGTCTCTTCCGTTTCTACGATTTTTCGATGCTGTTAACTGCTACTTAGACCTTTGCTTATTTTACAATGTTCACATATTCAACATAAAAAACATTCGTAATTATTATATAAAAACATCATTAATCAATTCAAATTAATTTAATTATTAATATATAATAATATAATAAATTTTACTAATAATTTATTTTTTTTATTAATAAATAGTTTATTTTCTTTTATTAATAATTAATTTTATTAATTTTAAAATTCCAAAATAAAAGACCAGAAGAAACTAAAATAAAAAAAAGACGACCACTGAGTAATGGTATCTACTCTGATTTAATATGTTGATCATGTCTTGTGGTTGTACCTAGATAACACAAAGCACGTCATCCGTTATTGTTCGGCATTTGCAAAAACGAGGCTAAGATTGTTGAGTTATGAAATATTGAGTATTCATGATGTTTATCCGTTCTTTGTTCACCAGAACTTTTTATAATTATGATCAAGTAGCCTAATTTCGTTTAGGGTGTAATGAAAAACTGACTGAGAGCCTCTAAATTTAATTAATTTTGTGAACTTACTATAAGAGAAGACCCCATCAAATGCAATATGTCAGTGTTTGACCCAATTTTGCA